TGGCTTTTCTAAATGATTAAACTAATTCACATTTCTAGTCACCTGCAGTTTTTCAAGCTCGTCCGACGTAATTTTTTATACCAATGTCTAGAGTATTATTTAAAAAGTCTTCCGAAGAAAATTGTTTTATTGTAACTAATCTATTAAATCTTCAAGAAATTAGCTCACAATTAAAAATAAAATTATCTTAATGATTAAATACAAAATTAAAAGTTTCAAATCCTAGCAATATGTAACTATCATATCGTTGGTCCAAAGCATCGTTCTCCTTGTGTCTCATAATTATTACCCCACCATTCGGGAAAATCAATCTAAGTATACAAAGCAACGATTAAAGCCAAAAGTATTACACAATTTAAACCATAGAAAAAGTTGCCAGATTTCGTACCTTTATCATTCCAGCAAAGCATAAAAATATTAGAAACGTTGCTGTTTGGCTGCCAGAATCTAGCGCGGCTGATACCACGTAATTGTATCTGATGAAATCCAAAAGAGCGTTTGAAAAAAAGTTGATCCAATTATATATATTTTACATAAATCAGAATCCCTTACTTTTTGAACCAAGCTGTTTTGTAACGTAAAGCCCAAAACTGGCTTAGGGCGCTTACAATAAACGCCATAACAATTGAATTTGGATAACTAAGTGGAAAGATACAGAGTGAGCTGAATATCAAAGGTGCGTTGATGAAATTAAATTTCGCCTTTGGAAATCGCCGATGTAGGAAATATATAGGGATTGGCACCAAAACTCCCACAGCGAAGCCCCATAGTAATGGATGGTAAATTGATTTAGATCCTACAAAATTTTGTATCAAAGAATTATAATGAATTTAAAGAGACATCTCAATAAATAAGCAGTTTAAATACCAAAGGTTTCTCCAGGTCCAACCAGCCCCCAGATTATGGTAGCGGAATTTATAAGTTGAACGATGGAACCCGACCACTAAAAATTGAGCCCCACAAAATTAAGCCAACAGATTAAGCATCAGAATAAGAATAAAAATTCAAGTTAGACTCGGTCTTACTTGACCAGTCGGATCATATTCTGTTCCGTCCAAATAACTTCTTTCAGCATTAATAATCATTTTCAAGGCAATTAAATGGGTAAATGTGGCCACAAATGTTCCCCAAATTTGAGAAAAAAGTAAGGCTCTTGGTGGAATTTTCATGTAGTGCCCTTTAATGATGGGGATTATGAGATAATGTTATAAGAAGACATGTGGTGGAAAATTTGATTATCAAACATAAATCTTACCTAGTTTAAGATGCTTTAATAAAACTATACATTGATATAAACCCATTACACAATAAGTTGTGAAAAAGGCATTTGCGATAGGACGACCTGGGAAAAGGTAGCTAAAATTTTTTTTTTAGCATATCTTATAATGCAAACTTCAATTACTTTATATTTGAAACTAACCCACATATCAACTCAGATATTATACCAACACTAAGAGTGACACTTGAGATTGCTGAAATTATTCCTAAAAAAAAAATAGAATGAAAAACATTAGAATATTGGGACTTTTTTAGAGAGAAAGTTTGGAGATATCATAAGAAAAAGTAATTGATTACCGACAGGTAGGACAACAATTAGTGCAATTCCAATTGACAAAAGCATAGCCCACCAAGGTAAATTAACATCATCTAAATATCCCATCATTACACTGATAGCAAGCATCGAGAAAAATATCAGGCTATAACACCAGTTCGGAACCTCTGAGAGTAAAATTATGGTTCATTAATAAGTTTATAAATGTGAATTATTATTAGCCAGAAAAAAGTTTGGTCTTTCATGTAATGATACCTTGGTATTTTCTAATCATTTTTGTATGGATATCTTCATTCTCTTCACGGCTTGCTTTGAACCTTTGATAAACATCTTTACCATGGAAAAGAGCAACATGACTTATGGCAGCTGTGAACGCAGCAAATGTGTAGAAATAATACATTGCAAATGTAGTTGATACGTAAACTGGGCCCTGTTCTTCGTAGGCAGTCACATTTAAGAACATTGTGTTGCTGTCAATAATCAGCGTTTGATTGTATCTTAATAACATAAATTTTCGATTAGAAGATGGAAATGGGTGACTTTATAAAACAGGTCATAAAAATCTACCGTGTTCCATCCTTTGTGAGCGTATTACTAGATCGAAATGGAAAGCTTTGTGCATTTCTTTACAAGAAAAGCAAATTAAAAATATATCAAGTTTGATAAGGAACCAAGATTTCTTGATAAACTTACAACACATTGTAATAATACATGAGGGGTGCTATGATCCAAGCTGCGATTAACCCACATCCTATTCGAATTACGCTCACCCACCTAATAGACAGAGTGGTGGTTTAGATATATTTTAGGAAATCATGAACTCTACAAGCAAAAAATAGACCTACAAAGGAGTAATCATTGGATTGTAATGCGAAATGGTATTCCAATCTAATGTGAATGACAAGATTCCAGATCCCCGATAAGCACTTCCAAGAAGTTTGGTTGTCGAGCTATTTCCAGCAAAGCAGAGCAATGCCATACTCGTGAGCCATGGAAACATATATTGCGGAAGAAATTGCCATAATAGTATGATGGAAAATACAATGGAAAAGAGACGTGATCTATCCTTTGCTTCTTTCACATTTTCATGTAATGAGCTGAAGAGTGACGTTAAAGCTAAATTTTCTGGCCAAATCATGTTTGCCGGATAAACAAGACCTATTTCGATGTTAAATTAGTAAGAATTTGATATTAAAAAAAGGAATCTCACAATCTCACATTTTCGAAGAAAACCAGCAATTCCATAGCCCAGCATATTGGTGCTGATAATAAATAAAATTCCGGATACCCATGACACCTTTCTATCAAAAAAAAGTTCTTGAATTGCTATTATTTGCTTTTTTTCAAGTATAAATTATTGAAAGTAATGAGTGATTGGATAACTTGAGTGCAAAAAATACAACAACCAAATGCAAGTTAATTAGGTTTACCCCAGGATATACACCAGAACTTGAGGAACTAGCTGCAACAACTATACACACATTTTCTTTGATATTAAAAGGGCCTAGATTTTCAAACATGTTAATGGTAAAAGCGAATCATTATAAATACATTAATAAATCATTAATTCTTTTTCATACCTGGATTCAAGCTAAACTCACAGTTTCTAATTCGATATTTACGTGTTGGTAAAGCGCTTGCCATCCATTTACCGATTATGAAAGACCCCAATAATGTGAAATAAAGGGAGAATAGTGCCCTATTCGTGCGAAAAACGTAGATTTCTTGAAGGAAAGACCCCAAAGCAGAGAAAAACTAGTAAATAGATTTCTTGGATTATTAGAAACAATAATTAATGAATGAATATTTAATTACTCAATTTGAAAAATAAAAGATTTATCTACCGTGCTTAAAACCCAAAATCGAAAGGTTATTGAAGGTAGAGTCGGATCATCTTTTAAGCTCACCGTCTGCGTTGAATGAAATATTTCATTCTTCTTAATTTGTTTCTATCTATCTATTAGAAATCAGATAAAGTAAAACTTACAGCAGCAACTGCGGGAATTGGAGAGTTTTCCTCTTCCTCTTCTTTGAATTTTTTTCTTTCCAAATTCAATATGCCCTTCTCGTCGAGCTCTTTTTCTGGGGTGAACTTTGAACGTTTTTCATCGACATGATGATCATTATTATTAATGAAGATTTGATTTTTTTTAATCAGTTCTTTATCGAGATAATTAGGCTTTATACTTTTCCCCTCTTTTTCTCGCTTCATGCAAGTGAAGAGCGCTTTGAGGGTCATACATATTGAAAAAAAATTTGCTAATAGGAAGGAATGATTTGGAACTTTTTTTGCAAGCGTTTTTGAATTATCCATAGCAAGTAACAAGTAAGATTCTTTTTTTATAAAAGTGTTTTTTTGAATTGACTTTAGATATTGACCCTTATATAAAACACAATTTTGGTTTGAAAATTTAGTTTCCTTCTATTCGCACTCTTTACAACAGTTGAGTTGCGATAACTGGGATTTACCAAGATAGGGTAAAATCAGGATATTTTATTTTGAGTTAGTAATCCATTATTATTCTCGAGTCGAATGAAAATTTAGAACTGCTTTTAAGATGACAAAAATATTATCTTTTAATATTTACAATCCCACGTTCTTAAGGCCAATCGATCTTCAAAAGGACGAGTGGGGACTATCACAAATATTTTGAATAGTTGAATACCCATTTATCCGACTTCAATGGAGTAAGTAAAGAAATAGTTTTAAATATATATATATTCTACCGTGGATTTTGTTTCGCTTGTAAACAATCGAGGTGATTCTCGGAGTAAACTCACGTGGAATTGTTTAATTTCCGTATTGTAAATATGTGATCAAAGTAATTAGTGAAACCGGGTTGATTGTATTCCCACTTTACGAGCATTAACTGAATCTGATCACAAGGTTTTGGATATGAGCAAAATATTGAGGTAGATTGAAACAAGGGATATAATTTTTTTATTTTGAATATATCTAATATATGTATTTCGAGGAGACAGAAGCAAACATAGATTTGATTTAACTCAAAAAACACGCTTGATTTTCGATTAATTTAATTTTTTTTTATTTTGTAGGTGTATTAAACGAAAAAACAGTCCTCATTGTCATTTCTCAAAGGAAGAAGCTAAAAAACTTTAAATTGATCGGCGATTTGGAAGTTGTACACCATTGCATATTTTTTTTTTTTTTTGATAATCCGATCTCAAAAATTTTCGAATTTTTAATTGACCAATTATAATCAAAAAAGTTGATGAATGGTAAAGATTATAGGAATACATTAAAACTGGTATAATTAAAATATCTTAAAGACTGTTGTTCAGATTGCAATGCGCCATCACGCAATCATAATTTTATCAATTGATCATCAAAATGACATTACTAAAAATTGAAACCATTGTTTCCCATTACTTGTTGATAATTTATATATCGATAAAATCAAATTTCTACCTTTAACAGAGCAGTAAAGGCTCACTGGCCTAATGGATAAGGCATCGGACTTCTAATCCGGGGATTGTGGGTTCAAGTCCCACGTGAGTCATCGTCTTTTTGTATGTGAAATATTAAAGAAGAGATTAAAAAGATGAGAATATAAAAGAAAAAGATATTTATGTTAAACTAATAAAAGAATTTCAGTTTTTAATGGAATGAAGTATATAATTGTTTTTTTTTTTTTTTTTTTGCAGTTTCTTCCATTTTTAGCCCTATAAAATACATTTTTGGATCATGTGAATAATTTATTTAAATCAAAGAAATTTATTATTTAGCCTAGAAAAAAATATATTTGAGCATACATTTCTTGGTGAAATTTAGTTTAAAAACGAAAAAAAAAAATCCCAAACATTTGGAATATCAAATTTATTTCCAAAATCAATTAATAAAAATTCAGAAAAGATGACCCTATTTAGCTATTATTTTTAATTTAAAATTAAAATCATTGAGCCTAAACAATAATAAGGAATTAATAAAATTTTATTATTTTCTCGAGTTGAACCCCCTCTTTTACTTAAGAAGTGGTTGGTTTCTTGATTAAAAAATGGTTGAATCAGATTTAATCTAAAAAATTGAACAAAATAAACTATACTAGTTGAGTTTTTAATATTTTTAATATAATTTAGTCTTGAATTCATGACCAATTACGTTTTCGAACTAGATTTTGAACTAGATTTTGATCTAGATTTGAATTACGATTTCCATTTTAAATAAAAAAACTGATAAAAATATTTTGGAATTATAACGATCATTGAAAAATTTGAAGTTTTTTTTTTTTTATAAAGATTTATAAAAAATTTTCCGAATATGTATTTTGATTTTGAAAATTTTCAAGAGCCGATATCAGTTTGAGTTGATTTAAATTTTTCCGATTTAATTTTGTTATTAATGAATTTTTTTGGTCAAGAATTTTATTATTATTTATATATATTTACATTTTGAAGTAAAATTTTTTAAGTTTTGATAATTACTTAAACCAAATACATGTACTTTTTAGGTAGATAAGTTTACTTTGTAATATTTGCAATATGTAAATCATATATTTTATTAAGAGCTCTATCGAAAAAAATATTTAATTATTTTATCAAAAATTATTAATAATCAGTTAAACTATAAAAGTAAATTTGTAAAAAAAAACATAATTTTTTGGTAAGCGTAAATATGCGTCACATTTTAGAATTTTTTTTTTTATATAAAAATCTAATGATTTTCTAGAATTGTGTAAGATGTACTGATAAAAATATATTTTTGATCATTTTCGTGATCGTAAGAAAGTGATTGGGAATCTTCTAAAGAGATCTAAATGGACTGTTAAAAAACAAATATATTTATCAATTGATTTGTCAGACTTTTGTTGTTTCAAAAGAAAAGAAAAAATTGAACATGAAAAGAAAATTTTTTTACTCAGTTTCTTTAATAAGAAGTGTGTACTGTTGAGTTTAATCAAAAACCAAAGATATACTCAATCAATAATGAATTTTGTACCTCTAAAAGTTCTTAAAAATATTGTTTGTCCGGGTAGAAAAATGGTTTGATAACGCAAGCTGTTTGTGAAATACTACATGTTTGGATCGAGAAATTTCTGTGAAAGATTCGCTAAAATCCGGTACAAACAATTTTCTTTGGATTAATAATTAGTGTTGATGAATTTTCAAAAATAGATTAGTTTCACGGGAGGAAAATTTTTCCGAGATTTCCGAGTTTTTTGAAAAGTAAATTTTGCTATTAGATTTTAGGTTCACATTATGATAACGTATATTTTTGAATCCCAATACTTTGGAAGAATTCTATTATTATTCAAAAAGATTTGGCTGAAAAACCAGATATCCGGGTTACTTTTCAAAATCGAGAATGGGTAAGGTAAAGGTAAAGGTAAAGGTAAAGGTAAAGGTAAAGGTAAAGGATAGAATTACTACGTGTTTGGATAGTGAGATAAATAATTTTGATGGAAATTCTGCATTAATAATATTTAGATGATTATGAAAAGAAAGATCTGTAAGTCGAATCATTTTCAAAATCCGAATCTGATTGAAATTGAAAAATACATTGTCAAAGCAAGAATATAAATTCAGACTCATAAAATTAACTTCATTTCTTTTAAAGGAGAATTGCAAAGATTTTGAGATAATTATTTATTGTGTAAAATTAGGTGATAAAAGAGAAGAATATTATGTTAAGAAAATCTTCATTTTTGTTGAGAAGGTGACATATCTATAAGGTTTCGAATATTTTTTATTTAGAGATCGAACCATAACATTATTATACCAAAATGTAAGATATTATTTCAAGTTTCTCTCAGTTGCATTCATTGATAATCTTTAATCATAAATAGGACAAGGAAATTTAATCTTAAATCAAAGTATTCTAACAAGGACTCAATTTCCTTTGAATAAATTGAGCACATGAAAACTATTTAATTATCTAATAGGTATTAATTTTCAAAAAATTTCTTTGGACAATAATTTATTATGAAAATTTACAATATTTCGTCAGAAATTCATAAAATCTATAGGTTTCACGAACAAAAAGAAATGATATTGAGAAAATAATTTTTTATGAGATTTAACTAACCTCTATTTCATTCGAACTTTTTAAATACTTGATATTGACACCGCTCAAAATGAAAAAAAAAATCCATTTTAGAATGTGCTAAAATATATTAGATGACAGTTTCGTCAAATGGTTACAGAAATATTTCACTTTTTTGTCGTCCCTTTTACCATTTGAAAACAGATGAGAGTTTAATTATGAAGGATTTCAAAAGAAGCCAATAATTTTTTTATTATTCAATCCTAAATAAAATATATTCTCTTTTATTTAATGGTAAATTACTTATCCTAATTCCCAAAAATTTATTATATTTTTAGAGTTTTTTGAGGATTAATTATTTTTACCTATATTTAAATAAAATATATATATATATATATAATTTACAACTTTTTATTAATGAGAATTTTTAGTACTAAAGGCAAATTATTGAGATTTAATACATTGGTGTTGTCAAGTTAGTTAATCCAAAAATAATGATCCTTTACAGATTAAATTTTTTGTAGAGTTACAAATTATCAAAGTAAAAGATCAGGTAATTTATTCTAATCAACCAAAATATTATTTTATTTCTGATATTTTATTTATTATGATAGAAAACCTCTTATTTTCTATAAAATATGGTTAATATACCATATTTAATTTCTGAACCATTAAAAAGATTTTAATTTTCACAATATTTTATTGTTTCTAATTTTTGAAAAGAAATGTTCATTAAATTAAAATTCAAACTCTCAAAATTTGAATTAGTTAAATTTTTAAAGATACCCAAATCAATTTTTTCAAAAAAGAAACCAGGTAAACAATTTTCATACCAGGTTCTCAATTTGAGCTTTTTAATTTTAAAAAAAAATTTTATAATAAAACTTTAAACTTTTGATTTCGTTAAAAAAAAAAAAAAAAACTTAATTTCGAAAGGGTCTAAACTGTTTGAAAATGATTTTCATTAAGAGGGAGAATGATTCATATGTTTAGATTACTACATTTGACGATTTAATCTGCAAATTTTTAAGTGCTCAATATGAAATCAACGTGATTTCCATTACAAATTCCAGAATCTTTAAAAACAGGTTCTTTCTTTTAATATTTTAAAAAACTTATATATACATTAAATAGATTAGAAAGATGGCTCGTGGTCTATATAACTCTTCTTTTCAGTTCCCTCGAGCTTTGAATTATAAATTTCAATTTTTTGGCGTACATGTTTGCATTCAGGCGTTTGAAAAATTTAGTTAGATGTAAAAGTTTTGCATTATTAGAAAAAAAAACTTTAACCATTTAATGTGATGCAATGTGATGTAATGTGATGTGAGAATCACACGTCAAAAGAAAAACATTTGTTTTTATAAAGAAAAATTTTTTGATTTACTAGATCATGTTGATTTATTTTCCCTTCTAAAAAAGTTAAATTGTCTAATTTGAAGAATATATAGAAAAAAATAAAACAAAATAATTTAATTTATTTCAATTACTTAATAAAATACTTTTAATAAAAAATCATAATTATATTTAAAAATTTTACTCTTCAAAAAAAAAATCCTAGTCTTTGAACACAAAAATGTATTTTATCAATCTAATACTATCGGTCAAATTTCTTGATTTATCAAAAAGTCTTGATTCAAGATTCTTAAAATAGAAATTTTAAGCTTTTGTCAAAAATTAACCTTCCTCATAATTCTGTATCAAAATTCAATAAAAATTGGAAAAATACAACTAATTCATTAAACTATAAACTTTTACATGATCAAATTTTCTGACCTGTGCTCAATTTAATACATCTTGAATTGGTTAATGGATGTATTTAAAAAAGAAACTTTTCTTGTGTTACTCTAAAGTTAGTTGTCGAAATTTTATCGAACCCTTAATAAAAGTTGTCGTCTATTGTAAAGATGGTTCTAAATTTAAGAGCATTTGTCAGACAAAATAAACCGTCTGTTTTATTGGAAAAATTATGAGCCAATCACGGTTACCTCAATCATTGCGGTAAAAAAAGGATGCCAAAAATGGTGAAGTGAGTAGTAGTTCCTTTAGGAAAAAAAACTCATATCCTTCTATTTAGATCTTATCCTCCGTAAACTTCATGGAGCTCCAAATAGACGACAAATTTTACGACCATATATATCTTTGGTGTCGCTTGGAGTCGTAGGTTCATTAATTTGACGTAAAATATGATTAGATTCTATTCCTTGATCTTGATGACAATCGGTGCATTCACAGGTTCCTGATAAGCTGAGATCCCGTGATAATTCATTACTACGTTTGCCCTCGTTAGTTGTTGGTAAATCGTACAGTTGTGAATCTTGTAATTGACGTTGTTGTTGTTGTTGTTGTTGTTGGGTATGTCGATTTCGGACTTGATCATGATAAATCCAATTTGAGACATTTTGGCCTTGCTGATCATTAAATGTCAATGACATGTATGGAGGAGATGATGATTGTAAAGAAGTAGTAAGTGATGATATTGATGGTAATTGGTTCAGTACACTTGAATCGTTTTTACAA